CAGCTGCCAAGTTGTTTCACTGATTGTCTTCAGAGACCAATTTTGTGGGTCTATCCAAGTCTGGCTTGGGTTGAAGGTCCACTGAAAATCACCAGACACAAGGCAAGACATCCATCTTGTGTGTGGGGGGTGAGGACGTATGCATGAATTTCATATCTGAATGAGCAAACTTAGGAAAAGAAAGATGCTATAAGATAGGCCACAGTTTAACTCAGAGGTGCTTTTGGCCTCACAGGCCAGATGAGTGACAGAGGGCCAGTGTGTGGGCCTTGTTGAGTCCTGTGTGCCAGCACTGGATCCTGGGACCAGGTGCCACACCCTCCTACCCCCACACATAAGGACTGGACTCTGGGGGGCCCCCTCTGGGCCCCCTACACTTGGATTGGACCCTGAGTCTCAGCACTGCTCCTGCATGCTGGGACTGGGACCCAGGATGCAGGGCCCATCACCCTCCCCACCTGGCTGTACATGCTGGGATTGGGCACCTGATCTGGGAGGCAGGGCCCAAAAATTTGGCAGCAGGGGAGTTGTGGCACCACTCCTTCCACCACTAAGTATCCAGACCTGTGAGAAGCCTGGATGGTAATGGCACTGCAGGCTAGATCTGGCTGTTGGGCTGGGACTTGACCATTCCTGGTCTAAGTTAACAATATAGTAAATGTTAGAAAACAAAAGTCCAGCAACTTACCTTATCATTTAATGTTGGGTCATTTAATGAATAGAGTTTGTTTGTAATGTCTTTACCAATAAGGTATCTGAATATTTCAAACAGAAATGGTTCAGCTTCCAAAAAATAAGTCAACCTTTCTCTGGACCAGCACAGGAACTTGCAGTTATCATCTGCAACAATGGTGACCTAAAAAAAAAAAAAAAAAAGCATGTGTAATGAATTAGCATCATGACACTGTTTGAAAGCATGTCATACTGGCCATGTCTACATATGCACTTAACTGCAGAGTAGACAAATTGGCCCCACAGTAAAGCGCCACTGTCTACATGTGTGACAGTATTAGGCTGCAATAAACTAATTAACACCACAGTAAATTAGTACTGTCAGATACTGTACCATCTTATGTCGGGGCAATTTACTGCAATTAAATGCATGTGTAGATGATGACCATGGGTGCAAACTGCACCCGGCAAGCCCAGCCAGCCAGGGGCCAGACTCTTACCTGTCGCCTATCCACAAGGCTTGGCACTTTCAACACTCTCATGTCCCAGCCAGCTCCTCTGCCACTGCCACCCAGAGCCTGGAGCTGACCGCACTGTGCCTTCTGCCAGCTTGGTCCTGCTCCACCCCAGCTCAAATTGCTGCTGTCCTGGGCACATGTATAAGTGCTGTACCAGGGAATAGTTTACTTCAGCTCAAACTGCTCCAGAGTATACTGCTTCACATTAATTGCACATATGGCACCTACTGTATTTTATTTGGTTTTTCCATAAAAACAGTGATTAAAACAATAACTGGCTTTTTATATCCCTTACTTAAAAGTACCTCCAAGGCTTAAATTTGTTTAGGGTTTTTTTGTTTCATTTAATTATTTAAGGACACAGGAAAGGTTTTCAGTTGAAACTTTTAAAAAGAAAAATTTAAGAAGATTTTCACAAGGATAATAAGGATATAAATTGCTCATAAGGCCACCCCTGCAAACACATTTATAAATCGCTTTACTTATGTAAGTAGCTCTATAGGTATATCTACTCATACTGTTTCTTAAAATAGGAACAACTGGTAGTTTTCAAAAATGATATAATAAGAGAGATTTTAAAAGTTTTGAAATCTCATACCAATTATTACAGCCTGATTTTGCCTGACTTCCTATAACTCAGGACTTTATAAACATAGTCTTCTAAGGAATCAGTTCGATCCATCAACAATAGCACTGCTTAGGAGCTTTGGGATAAATCTGCATCCTCTTTTCTGAAACACCATTAGAAATACATAAAGTCTTGAACAGTTCTGTCATATTGGTCAGCAGAGGGCAGTGGCACACAAATCAGCATAGTATAGGTTAGTGTCACATATTTCAATGGAATATTTGACAGACACATGCATCTATTTAAAGAAGGAATGTTGTGGCTACTTAATTTGTATATAATATTTGCAAATCTTTTATCTCAAAAAAGAGATTTAAAGTTCAGGGGGTTAACAATGCTATCACATACTCTACAGAGATTTTAAATCATTTTAATAATATTTTTCAGGGCTCACACTTGAGAAGAATACAGGCAGTCCTTGGATTTATGATACAAATGGTTCCTGAAAACGGCGTCTTAAGTCAAAACATTGGAACTCGGAACTGATTTTTCCCCATAGGAAACATTGTTATAAATGGGGGATTGGTTCCTGAATCAAGGCCTGATA